TGATGGTGAGGTGAAGCATGTCCATGTGTTTAACACTGATCATAATTTGTGCTGTCCTTCAACTAAATTTGGATGCTGTAAGAAAGGCGTCTTTCTGATAATCTTTGCAACAACAGATGGATGAAACTAAGCCAATTTTCTGTGGATCTTCTTGATTTTAGTAAATAGAATAGAATAAAATAGAATATTTGGCCAAGTGTGATTAGACACACAAAGAATTTGTCTCTGGTGCATAAGCTTTCAGTGTACATGCAAAACAACAAATAATAATATAATGATGATGATGATGATGATGATTATGCAATAAGAGAAGGTAGTAGAAAAGCTGAAAAGGATAATACTAACACAACCATATACATGGCTAAATATGCTTAGGCATAAGGCAGTATAATGGGAATTAGGTGTTCCACAGAGTGATGGCAGGATGTGAGGGTCTGTAGATATTTTCTCAGCCCTCCTTCTGACGTGCAATATACAGGTCCTCAATGGAAGACAGGCTGGTTGCAGTTGTCTTTTCTGCAGTTCTAACTATCCGTTGAAGTCTGTACTTGCCCTGTTATACCAAACCACACACTTATAGAAGAACAAATGACACTCAATAATTCCTCTGTAGAAAAGGAATGTAATGAAAATATACAGTAGCATAGTTGATAAAGGTGAAAGAAAGCTTAATCAGTATCATTGATGAAGATGTCATAACATAAATGATTTTTTTTGAAAAAAGAATAATTTCAAAATTATGTTGAAAAAAAATTGATGGTAGAAGACATTTGTTTAAAATTGCAGGAAGGCTAGGTTAACGGGAAGTTGCCTCATGCTGAGTCAAAGCACTAGTTCCTCTAACTCAGTATTATTCTCTGAATCACAAACATTCTTGTCCATAGCAAGAATTTTTCTCCCCACTATCTAGAGGTGCAGGATTTCTATCATCTATGCAGAGAATGTAACTACAACTAAATCTTGTCTCTTTCCCAAAGATTGGAAGGTGCTTGTAAATCCATTTCCTATGTGACTACTAGCTAACTAAAATTGACAGAAGCACATTTACAGGTTTTTCATTTCTATGCATCCAGAGTATGAGGTGGCTTCAAATCATTTTATGTGACATGGGTATCATTTGTTTTAACCATTGCTATGCCAATCTTTTTGCAACATAGACAACAGAGTCTTTAGAAAATATATAGACTTCAATTTCTGGCTCCCCAATCCCCTGTAAAGGATGAGCAGGAAACTCCTTATCTCTTGAAATAGGAGTTGTGGTCATGGGGAATTGAATTTGGTAAGAAAAAGACAAAAAAGGTAGCAGTTTAGTCACGGAGTTGGAAAGAGAGTATTACTCTATATTAGAATAACTAAATGGACCTCTTAAGAACATTTTCCCTAAAAGAGCAGTTAAATGCACTTCTTAAGATAAGTATTCTTTTAAATCAGCTAAAAACTGCTAATAAGTAATAACTAAATAAAGACTATTGACTTCAGACTTCTTGGGGTCAACCTCGAAACTCACACATTCAACACTGTCCAGCAGGGGGCTACAAACTATTACAGTACTGTATAGTGATTTTGGAGTGCTTTCTTTAATCCATTGTTTTCTGCTAGCAACAAGAATGACATACTTCAATTCCTAGGCACACCCTTTCCTGGTGCTTAGGAAAAGATCAGGGCACAAGGCAAGAGTTCAAAAAGGGAGTGGTCCCGCTGGGAGAAATAATTACTTACAGATTATTAACAAGTGTTGTCTGTCATTATTTTCTTACTAATTTCAGATGTAAAACTGCATTCATTAGGAAATTTGCTGTTAATATATTTTTGCTGCATTGTTCTGAAATATTTCTGAGGACAGATCTAAAATTAGAACCAAACTTGTCTTTTCTTAGCCAAAAAGGTTTTATTTTTAAAATGTTGCTTGCCCATAAAGTAGCTTCTGCATGTGCTTTAGCTTGGAAGCATGCATGATTAATGCAACAATCCATGCAAGATACAACAATCAATCTCCAATATAGGTAGTCACATTTATTTCTAGTAGCACAAGAGTTGTTTTCTGGGAATACAGCCACATCTTTCAGATTGGAAATGTAGTCATAGAATGGCATTTCATTTTATGAACACTTCTCAGTGGCAGCTCGAAGAGACAATATTCAGGCTACAAACCAATATGGGAGGTGTGCTGACTTTAGGGTTACTGCCTTCTCTAACCTGCTGATTGATGAGTTTTATGTAGAATCTTCCATGCTCTGAGCTTGGTGGATGGTTGGTTATTTGAACCAAGTTCAGAGAGTATCAAGGCTTCCACAGTTCAACCCTGACTACATATATTCTCTTCCATTGATGACTTTTAGTCCAAGACATCCAGAGAGTATCACATTCAGAAAGAATTCTGCCAACTTCTTGGTATGCCACTGGAAGATAAACTCGCCACAGAAATAAACCAGTGGACTGATTGGTATATAATCACACTTATGGGATTGTGGCTAAAATGGGGATATGCTGAACATACAGGAGCACATTTACACAGTGTCACTTTTATCTACAGCCATATGCCCACTGAAGGGGAAACTTTATACCAGAATCAAAACTGGTGCTAAGCAGTTTTGAATTCAATAGGAAAGAAGAAAACTGCTGTCCCCTTATTGATGGTGGCAGTGTCCATATTGCCAGGACTAAGCTCAGAATACAAAGTAATTCAACAGTTACTGCATGCAGCACTAATATCTACAGCACTGAAGGAGCTCATCAACTCAGATGACAATATGTTATGGCAGAGTTGTACCTCCCTGGGTTCATGTTATGGAGACTCAAAGAAAATTCTGCAGAAGAGGCACTTTGCACACAAAGGTCATTTCCTCACTATGAGTTCCAGTATCTTTTAGTAACATCATATATTGTTGAGGCAATACAAGTTCCTATTATATTGCTACAACTTTGGTTTGATGACACTAGAAGTTGCTAAAATCATGAGTGAGGAAATATAAGAGAGTCAATGCGCATGAAACAGCATACAACAGCATTGAATGCAAGTACATTGGCAGCACTTTTGTGTCTGGAGAACCTTTTCAAATACTTTGACTTAGGAGTTCAGACATTAAATTTCACTCTGGGCAGACGTAACACCTTACCTTGGTAAACAATACACCCTTTGCAACATATAACAGTGATTACTATTTTCCAAGTCTCTCCCCTGTTCCTTTCCTTATATACAAATTCTATGTCTGTATTGCCTTTTTCCCAATGGCAGGAATTGGGAGTTGTATTTGTTGTTGTCAAATGCAGACAGATTTTGCTTATCCTGAAAGAGCAAATATAATGCTAAGTCATAATGCAGTGTGTTAGAATTGGTGTAGTTGTGTGAATATAGCCACTCTGATTTACGGTTTACTACTACATAGCTATGCATTAAGATTCTATGGTTTATTAACCAGCCTACTTTAAAAGCAAACCATGCATCTGCATAATATATAAACTAAGTTATATTGTGGCTGTGCTTCTTAGGTGCCTTGTTTCTTGCCTTCTGCCAGAAAGAAGCTTTATGGAGATACCCTGTTATGCTTGCATTTCCTTTCCTTTGTGCCTATTTTGATTGTGTGAAGACAAGAGATAAACAAGAAAAAGAAAAAAAATGAAGAGAAAGGAAGAAAGAAAAAGAGGGAGAGAAAAAGAAAGAAAGAAGAAAGAAAAAGAAGGAAAGAAAGTCAGCCAGTCAGTCATGGTGCATACTGCTGAAACATGCTATTGTGAATTCATGAGATCCCTGAGTGGTTAGTTTTTGTTATCATTGATTGCATTTGAGGACTAGCAATGTATCTTCTTTTTTCTTATATTGTACTGTTACTATGAGGACAGATAAAGCACAAGCAAATCTTCAGCTCACACCAAATAAAATTACACAGAGTGAATGAAAGGAACAATGGTTCCATTAAGTCCTTGTAGTTGCAGAGCAAAAACTGTGTAAGATGCAACTGGGGATGGGGAAAGCAAGTTGTGACTGCAACCTAGAATGGAGAAATAGTGCAGAATTGTTATGTTGCTGTATTTATGACAGCAACCATCTTATTTGATCTTTTGAACTGTATTAATTACACTTAAGTTAAAGCTTCCATTCTTCCCTGGCACCCCCCACCTTCTCCTTGATGCTAGGAAGATAAGAATGCAACCATTTTATAACTCAAACTGTGGGGGCTTTTTGTGTAGAAAGAACAAACGTCTTCACCATTTTTAAAAGGGAACTTCTGAGTCAGAAACTCTTGCAGCTGGTTTAGGGAGAAAGAGAGAGAGTGGGTGGGTGGAGAAGAAGCCAGGCAGACCCTGACTCATCAAAAGCAGCTTCTCGGAGCTTGGGGGCTCCAGAGGAAATGAAATCACTTCTGGAGGGAGAAGAAGGGGAGGGGGAAGCGAGGGTCCAGGAGGCAAACTCAAGATGAATTTTTCAATGAAGTTGAGAAGAGGGGAGCGGCACAAGTTGAAGAAAACCATACACTGGCGGGGGTGGGGGGAGGGTAAGGGGATGGGTGCCCCGCCCCAACGAGAGAAAAGTCGCGCATCAGGACTGGGACTAAAGAAAGAACGGAACAAAAGGGGAAGCACCGATAACCTATAAACGACTTTGTCCTTTTCATTCGGGCTACCGTCCTTTCTTCAGAATAAAAAAAGCTCTAAAACTCCCCCTCCCCCCCAGGCGGGTAAATGTTAATAGGATCGGGCGCTGCGCTGACGTTAAGTGAAGCCCAAGGGGACTTGCTTCTGCGCCAGCATGCCCAGTGAAACTCAAGGCGACGCCGACTTCCTAGGACTCCCGAGAGTCGCCCTGCGCAGGACTGCCTCCACTTCAGAGGAAGGGAGCCCAGTCAGAGTAGGTAGGACTGACCCTACACTAAAACGAGAGGCGAGCCGGATTCCTGGAAGAGCGGAAGCTTCGGTCCCGCTCAGCGCGCATCCCCCGCCCCCATTCCGTCGCCGGCCTCCCCGATTGCCACATTCCCCGAAGAGTGAGCTCAGCTGTTAGCTCAGCGCAGCCTCTCTCCTTTTATGGTCAAACGCTTGGGCAGGGGGAGGCTCTTTTCGGCAGCCTTGGGGCTCCAGCGGCTCGCCTTTCCTCCGCCCCATCCCCGCTTTGCTCAACTCCCCTCTTGGCAAGCCAGGCTGCTTAGAAAGTTGCGCTCGGGCCAGGCAGGCAAAGACGCCTGGCCACGGGCAAGCACCGCCAGAGGCTGCCATCTGCAGCGCCTCGCCTTCCGGAGAAGACGCAGAGCGCTTTCTAATCCCGCGGCACCCCGGAGCGGTCTTCGGCCCCTGAAGGTAAATTCGCCTTTCCCTGCGGAGGAGAGCTGGCTCTCGCCGCCGCGGGCTTGCTCCTCCATGGCTCTGCCTCGCAGCGCTTCCGAATGCCTGCCTGCTGCCTTGGGCTGGAGGGCGCGAGCGACTCCCGGTCTTTCTCGGGGCCCTGATTGGTCATTCGGGGCTGAAATCGTCCACTTTGCCCTGGATGGCGGCTGGGCGTGCGTGCGTGCGTGCCTGCCTCCCCGTCGCGTGCAACAAGCTAGGCGAAGGTTATGCGAGAGGTGCGTTATGCAGCCGGGAGAGGCTGCAAGTACTTTTCCTGGAGAGTCCCCGGGGGTGGGGGTGGTGGGGAGTGGTGGGGTGCGCCTCAACTCTGAAAGGAAGACTTGGCGTGGCTGGGGCCGAAAGAGAAGGACGGGATTCTGAGGAAAGGCGCCTCTCTCGGGAAATGTTGACAAATTGCGGGGTGCCCTCTTCGGACTTTCCTGCGACCCCTCCCCTGCTATGGGGCAGTATCCCCCGCAGCCGACTCCCCTTCTTTGTCTTGGAAAGTTCCGCCAGTCGGTGAAAGCTGAGTCGCGCGCTGGGAATTGTTGCCTGCTTTAAGCTCAACCAAGCCGGAGTGGGGGGTGCAACCCCGCGCCCCCGAGCACTTTTCCAGATGTGTTTAGATAGCGGAAAGAATCTGCAAGTTCTTGTCGGGAGGGCAACTCTTGCGTGACTTGTGGGTCCTTCTTAGAAAGAGGGTTAGTGTTGCGGCTTGTTGAAGCTTCCCCGGATTGTTTCTTTTCTCTTTTTTGGGGCCGAGTTTTACAGCCGTCTCAATGTAAAAAAAAAAAAAAAAAAATAATAAATTGGGCTGAGCGACTTTTATCTACATACATGGTAAATACTGACATTCTCTGCAATCTTAATATAACTCTTGGTTTTTTTGCCCAGAACCTTTCTGCAGTCTCTCTCTTACTAACCAAAAAGCACACGATTTAGCAATGAGGAGGAGTGGAGAGGAAAAAAAGGGAGCAGATGAAGAATTCAGGCAACATGTTCACAATGCTATTATTTATTACTACCCTCTTTCCACTGAGGACCATATGTGACTCTCCTGCTGCTCACATAATTACAATTTTTATATATCAGTATTGAGAATTCAGAAGTACAATTTAGTACAATCCCACCTCCAGTTTGTCATTAATCTAACTAGATCTACTGATCCTAGATCTTCTGGTCTCTGTTATTCCCAAATTGATTGAGGCAACAAAGTTGAATTGTTCGATCTCTTCAGGCATACCTCGCGAACTGCCAAGCCAAGCCCACAATCTACATATGGCAGAATGACTTAGAACATTGGTAAACATCCTGCTTGACTGTCTGTGTCTACGAGAACCAGAGGTTTGTCATGCATCCAACCAGAGACATAATCCATGACACACATGCTGTACTGTGGTTGATAGATCACAGGTTACAAAGTCTTCTCTAGGAAGCAGACACCAACCTGGATATGTCTGAGCCCTGAAGGCATCCTAAATTCTAGTAATGGAATTGGCTTGCATTTCCAAAACTCAACATATTAATTGAGAAGCTGTAATGTATTGTAAATAGGGCTGTTACCAGAAAGGAACTGAAACTAGGAAGTTGTGCAAAAACATTTCAGTTTTAAAAATAAAGCCTTCACCCTTTTCCTTGGCCCTTAGTTACTGCATATTGAACATTTCCCAATCTAAAGAAAAGCCACAGTGTTTTTGGTTTTTAAATGCCATTCTTTCTCCCAGAGGAGCCCAAAGCAATGCACAAATTTAAAATTATCCTTAATAAAATATCCCACCAGTGTCGGAAGATTGTAACACTACAACAATCAAAATTAAGTGCATTTATAAAATTAATATATACTTGTAATAGCAAGCTATGTGGTAAGACTATGTAGTTCTGGAGTGGTTGTGCAATGAAGGACAACATGATCGTACAAGCAAATAGGCTATGACTCTTCAAGTGGAGTGGCGGTCAAAAGTAGAATGCTTTTATGTAGCAGACCCACTAGAAATCTTACTTTATAGTATGGAGTTTGTTAGCGATATTAGACTCATTCTTTATTTTGGGTGGAGATGCTTATTATGAGTATGTATTCAGTGGTTGACCACTGGATACTTGAAACTGCACTGAAGCAGGATGGGTGGTCCAATCGTTTCTAGCGTGGTGTCCTTTGGAGTTTTTCTGACTATAACTCCACAGTCCCTTACTACTGGTCATGCTGATTGGGGCTAAAATGAAGTCCAGCATGTCTGAATGAGGAAGACTGGTATTGCTGAAACATTAACATCACTTTACTGTGTCAAATCAATATAAATATTGGAACTGATGAGGCCGATTGTTTCTAACACTTCTCATAAACTGGGCATAAAGGCATTTAATATTTAAAGGACAACTTCCCTGACTTGAGATGGTTTGTGCTGTTGTGTTTTTGTTACTATACCTCTAAAAATGAGAGAAATCCTTTGAACTGAGGGTATATCGATATATTTAATATTTCATTAGAAACTATTTTAACAGTTGTATGCATCTAAAAATTACACAGACTGTCTGCAGGAATCTTGTCGGCCCTTCCCACTTTTTTTTCCTGCCTCTTTCTTGCAATCTCCCTTTTCTTTGCCAACAAACCAAACAAAAGGCATAAGGATTAGCAGTGAGCAATTAGCAATGAACATTTGGTGGGAGTGATGAGGAAAGAAGGAAGAAAATGTTGAAAGTTATTGAAAAGAAGAATTCATGTAATATGCTTACAAAGCCAATTAAGGAAAGGGAGATACGCTATTGTCATATCTTCACTAAGGACCACTGAAGTTGCATTTTCCCATAATTTTTATATGTCAGTATTTAGAATATTATTTCTTGTTGAAGTAGCATTCTGTATTTCCAGCCTATCTAAGGGAACAATATAATTGCCGATGTGCTGCCCATTCACCTTTTAATGGATATTCAGATGTAATGCAATCTCTTCCTCCATCAGACCACGAAATCAAGGGTAACATAATGCCGATGAAAATTAAATAGAGTAGCTTTTTGTATAGCTTGTATGTTGGACCAACTCTTATGGAGGGGAATTTTTGTCTGTCTTTTAAGCATTTTGATAGAATTTGTTTGCTGTGATTCTCCATGGAAAGAATTCTTCAGGGAGGTGAAAACTCTTGAGGATTTATCTTTCGTTTACTTTGAAAAAGGCAGAATTTGTATGAAGGAAAACTTCATTTTCAGTCTTTGGCGTGGTAGAAAGTATAGTACTTTTGTAGAAATCCTAAGCAATTTAAAATGAGCTGCGCGTGCAGTTTGCACTGATTTGAAGGCAGTTTGTATTACTAAAAGGTATTCAACTTCCTCTCACTCTTTTAAACGCAAAGCTTTAATCTGGTTGACCAAAAGCCATTAAGGTAGTCATTGAACATTTTGTGGCCATCCTCCCAAATAGCTGTTCTAGAGCCTAGAGATACAATAACTGGTTAAGACTTGCTCACATGAGAAATACCGTATTCTCCCTTGCCTGTTACTTGCCCATGTGAATATTACAACTCACTCTTATGCTGGCTCTTGTTTGGTTTCTTAAGTACAATTGAACTCCTTTTATCAGATGACCTTGGAAATGGAGTGTCTCTTCAGAGACCAGTTTGCAAAATAAAGTGTTTGACTGGTGAAGGCAAAAAAGTGCTGGTGAAGGCAAGAAAGGGGATAAGATGGGCAGGGCAGCTGCAATTGGAAAGCGGCTTGTGGGGGATAGCAAAGGAGTTAGAACAGCTGCTCATACTATGCGAGTGTCTTTCTGGGACAGCTGACAGTCTTTGTGTCAATGTTGAGTCTTTCCATTTATATGTAATCTGGTTCTGCCATCTCTTGGAAAATTGGTCAGATAAAGTCTGAAAAGTTGGTAAAGCAGAACCTTATGTTTAATGTAACCCAGGGGAAAAAATGATGTGGACTTTAATAATGAGCTCTATGACATTAAGTAGGATGAAGAGAGAAATGTTTACAGGTAAGGAAAAAGCCTTAGGACTTGAAGAGGAACTGCTTCTAATGCATTTTTTAGTGTTAGGAACTAATATGAGCTACACAAATACAAAGGCGGAGGCCAAAACAAGCAAGTTCCCATGTGTCAAATCCTAAGAAGGTCAGTGGAATGGTAACTATTCTGAGTTTTGAAGTCTAATAATCATGATTATAATCCTATAATGATCATATGCTTCAGCTTTTATGTTGCTTTTGGATCAGCCTTGAACCCAATTGAACCTAATGAATAAGGAAAGGCAGCTGGCTCAGCATGAAAACTGATTGAATTTGGGTTGGAATATAACAGCATCATTAATATTTTTCCCCATTCTGTTTATCTGGAGCAGAGTGTTAAAGATATCTTCTTGCATCTTAAAATGATCTGATATAGATGTGGTTCCTGAAGGTGCAGTTCTAATAGTGGCGTAGACTGCATTTTCATCCTTTTGACTGGCTGGGTGTAAATATACCAGTAAAATGAGGAATTTGCAATTCTTAATGAATAAAAATTGCCTCAAGTGTGTATTAATAAGGCCCCTGGTAGTAAGATATGGTCTGTCTATTTCTGTGTATAGTTATTTAACAAATTTATATAGCTCTCCATGTACCAGTGGAATTCTGGGTGGTGAACAAATGGTATCTTATTTGTGGTAAAATATAATACATGATCATATCAATCAAAAAAGTGAAGTTGGGGCCACAGTAAGAATATCTTACCAAATGTTCCTACAAAATGTATTCCCTTCCACACATGCTGGGCTCCATTAACATCTGGAAAGCAAAATCTTCACAGCCCATCCAAATCCAGGGGAAAAGTTGATCCATAAGGCAGGTACCATGGCAGAGAAAGCATACCTCTTGCTACCAGGTGATATTGCTTCACTGAGCATGTCCCCTCTATTGGATGTAGTGGGATGGGCAAAAACTATTCCAGTTAGGCAGTAACTTGACCCCTTGCTACGTTAGGCTTTTAGCACTTTGAATTGCATCCCAAAGCCTACTGGGAGTCAGTACAAGTCAACACTGCACATAGTGAATTCACTACACATGTTGTAGCATCCTGGACCAGCCGAAACTTCTGAATGCTTTTCAAGGGCAGCCCCATGTAGAGTGCATTGCAGTAGTCCATCTGAGAGGTGATTAGGGTACCAGTGTTCCTGAGCAGTGCCTCCAATCTAAGAATGAATAGAATTGGCACATAAGGTTGCAAAGGCTTTCCTGGCCATAGCTGCCCCTACTCTCTGAGCAGGTACCCCAGATTGTACAGGAGTGTTACCCATCCAGAATTAACAAGGAAACATTACTAAATGAGATGGAAGGCCCACAATCCCATAGTCTTGTTAGGGATCAGGTGAAGGCTATTCTCCCTCCTCCAGACCTCCACAACCTCCAGGCACCTTGATAACATCCCCTGGACACTGATATGTATATACACACAGACACAGTATAACATACTGATAAAAAAACCTTTTTTTAAAATTGTGGGCCTTTGAAGAAACACCCTTTCCAGCAGAGTTGCTGTGCTTTAAATTGCACAGGCAAGCATTTGATCTTTTAAAAGAGGATTAGTATTTTATTCATTTAAATTGGTTTGTGCTTTAACTGCCTGGGAACAGTTGCCTGGCATATTGCAAAGCAACCTTTTTTTTTAAAAAAAAGAAAACTAAAAAAAAAAAAAAATTAACCCGTGTCAGGGTTGCAGCTGATAATTGGCTGCTCGCTGTGTGTGCCTTGGCTTCAGGAGCAGAAAAGCCCAACAGCAGGGCGTGCATGCTCTAGGGCAATCTCTCTGCTGCTCAGTCTGGGGAGGGAAGACTTGTGACTCCAGGAACGTGTCAGCACGGCTGGCTGGGTCTAGGAGCTGCTTCCTGTGTGGGTGGGTGGGGGAGTGGCAGCACCGATAGCTGAGAGGCAAGGATGCTGCCCGAGAACGCTTGTAACGGGAAGGACCAGACAGGACAGACCAGCTGCAGGACGGAGGAGGAGGGGGCAGCGGGGCTGACCGTGAATATCGGGAGCTCCAGGGGCTGCCTCACAGATGCCAACGCCATGGAGACAGACAGGTTTCCTTTTGTTCTTCTCCTATCTGTTGCCAAATTGCCTTTGTCTTGACCAGCCAGTGCCTTGAGGTGAAACGAAACAGAGGAGACAGCAAGCAGAGAGAAGAGTGTGGAAGGCCACGAAGGAAGGAGGAGGTGGACAATTTGTTATCTGCGTTAAAATGGGTAGAAATGCAGAGCATCGTTCTCTTGTGCCGTAATGTGCACAGATCCCTATTCTCTCTTGCACGCAGCTGCGTTGACTCCCAAGCATGCCTCGTAAGAGGGGAACCTATCCTTTGAGGCATGTGGTTTCTTCTGTGGCATTTATCCATCTTTCCCCATGTGACAGAGCTTAGGTTATTCCCAAAATATATGCAGGGAGGAAGTTCAGGCCTGGCTGTTCTTTCGCCCTAATCGGAGGCTGAGGCTTATCTACACTTTGGACCTTGTTCATTTGTTCCTTGCATCCTGCTTGCCTCTGCCCTTCATTTTTAACACACCCCCCTTTCCCTTTCCATCTACTCTCATTCATCCTTCGGGCACCAGACTCCATGCCACTTCGGCCTTGTTCCTGACTGATACGAGGGTTTTTCTTCCTTGGTCTCCTTATCTAGGTCCTGTGTCACCCTCAGCAAGATGGCTTCATCCGGCGCCCCAGGAACTCGCATGACCTCTACTGTCAGCATCAACATCTCCACTCCAAGCTTCTACAGCCCCCAGAAAAAATTTGCACCCGTCGTTGCTCCCAAGCCCAAAGTGAATCCCTTCAAGGCTGCTGGACCGATTCCGGAAAATGCTTCTGAGCAGAGGCTGCCTCCGGCTGCTGGAGCATGTGCCCAGATAGGAAAAGTAGGGGAGATCCCCATAGCTGTGACTTTTCCCCCAGCAGAAGGTAAGTCATCCTTGTTGTCTTCTGGGAAAAGCAAAGGATGCTCAGTCAAAGGACAAGATGGAAAGGTGGCAGTGGTCGGGGTGTTGTGGTGGTGGTGGTGGGAGGAGGAAATGGCTCACAATTGCATCGAAGTTGTAGCTTCCAGGTTAGAAGAAGGTGTGGATCTCTATTTTAAAAAAAGTGGAATAATCTCCGTGAGGGTGTGGCTACCAGAACTTTGCTGAATAAAGAATGAGAAAGCAATCTCAAACAGGAGAGTTGAGGGATGACTCTCCATGATTTGCCTCTGAATCATCTGGAATATTATATCCCTCAATGGAACAATGCTAGGCTGGCGGGAGGAGCATCAGATAACTATCCTGCTGGGGTTGAAGGCAACTGTCTTCATCAGAAACTTAACAAGTGGCCTTGGGCTAATTGTGGATTCTTAATTTGACTGTGTCTCTTCCTTGTTCACAGTGGTAATAAATGAATGTGATGCAATGTTGAAGCATCTATTGATAGAGTTCTACCACAAGTTTCAAAAAATAGTTTAAAATTCTGGTTCTGGAATGCTGCCAAGAGATGCTTGAATTATAGAGGAGAGAGGGTATATGTGGATGTCTTTCAATTTGCCTTCCTAATTCTAGATTGCAACTATTTGGTACAAACTGTACATGTAGAGAGAGAGATTAATTATTGTATAGGTCAGCAGTCTGCATCATTCCCCAAATCATCAGGGCTCTCCCTATTTAGGGAAAAAGTTAAGCCTTAAAACAGTTAAGTTTTGTGGAGACTTAAGTTCCATGTAGAGTTAAGGCTCTGGGAGGTTAAATACATCTGTATTTTGAATTTACTTCTCCCAGCCTCCTCAAAAACCTTTGGGTACGCTTTCTGCAGCCTTCAGATGTGGGTGCAGCAGTGGTGGGAGTCTATTTCAAATTTTTAAATTTATATTTGAAACCAAGTTCATATTTGGAGAGCAAAAGTCCAGAGCCAGTTTTATTTAAATAAGTATAAGTATAATTTTATTTCTATACTGCCCTTCTCCCGAAGGACTCAGGGCAGTGTACAGCCTATTTAAAAACACAAGACAAACATCAATTAAAAATTTAAAATTATTAAATAAATTCGGCTCGATTTAAAACCCCAGAAATTTAAAATACCCCAATTTAAAATTATTATGTTGATAACCCGGCCTGGCGGAACAACAGGGTCTTCAGTGCACAGCGAAATACCTGGAGGTCGGAGATCTTACGTATTTCCGGGGGCAGTTCATTCCACAGGGCTGGGGTTCCCACAGAGAAGGCCCTCCCCCTGGGTGTCGCCAGCCGACATAACTTGGCCGACATATATAAAACAAGACATTTTAATTTACTTGTACTTTTTTGTTTGCATATCTTCCTTTGTTGTCATAGTTGTTTTAACCCCTTTTCCTAGACCTACTTAATAAATTATAGGTAGTCCTCAACTTACGACCATAACTGAGCCCAAAATTTCCATTGCTAAGCAAGACAGCTGTTAAGAGAGCTTTACAACCTTTCTTGCCACAATTCGTAAGTGAATGACTGCACTTGTTAAGTGAATCTGGCTTCTCCATTAACTTTGCTTATTAGAAGTTTGCAGAAGGTGATCACATAACCCCAGGACTCTGCAACTGTCATAAATACCTGCCAGTTGTCAAGTGCCTGAATTTTGATCATGTGACCACTGTAAAAAAAGTCACTTTTTTCAGTGCCATTGTAACTTTGAATTCACTAAACGAATGGTTGTAAGTCGAAGACTACCTGTATTGTTGACTAAGTCATTTTCTTTGTTTTCTTTCTTTTCTTCAGCTCCACATTAAGAATGTTCTTGTCCAGGGGTGTCAAACTCAAGCCCTGGGGGCCAGATCTGGCCCGCAGGGTGATTAGATCTGGCCTGCGGGGCTGCCCTGGAAGCAGCTAAGAACTGGCGCGCAGTGCCTCTGCCAGTGAAAACAGAGTGAAAGCTCTGTTTTCGCTGGCAGAGGGTTGCCAGAGGCCATCGCAGCCAAATATGGAGCTCAGGAGGGATACATGCACCTCCCCCACTCCGTTTTCGCTGGCAGAGGGTTGCAGGAGGCTGTCACAGCCGAAAACGGAGCTTGAGAGTCCGTTTTCGCTGGCAGAGTGCTCGGGCTACCACAGGCGCTCCCGACAGGAGTGACATCAAGCTGGCCATGCCCACCCCGGCCCCCCAAGGTCAAACACAACCCTGATGCGGCTATCAATGAAATCGAGTTTAACACACCTGTTCTTGTCTAACGGAGGGCTTTCTAGTCCTTTGTCTTTTTAAAAATGCCTTTAAGTAGGCTACTGTCTTCATTATTTGGTTTCCAATACCCTTGGAATTCAAGTCACTTATTTTTGCCCTAGTAAAGTTGGCAGACTCCCAACAGCATGTCCTTGACTTGACTCTATAGCTGAGCTTGGGTAGTATTAAAATTCTTTCTCCGACTATAAAAAAGAAGTATACATATACTTTCATCTCATCTGAGGAAAGTTAAGAAAACGTGTGCTGAATGAAACCCTAGCTTCTTCCTCAGCCCTTCTGTGGAGAGGCACATTTGAGGTCTTCAAACGCACAGACACACACGTACACATGCGCACGCGTGTGTGTGTGTGTGTGCAAAAATAAATGCCTTTGCTATTTACTAGTATAATTGAATATGCCAGAATAATATTTGATCCTTGAGATGTCACAGCTCCTATGGTTTTTCAATTAGTACACCTACTCTATTTAAATCCCTGGGCTTGTATCCCAAACCTAGCTTTTGTATAATTTTTGCCTCTTCAGCCTAAGGCAGATAGCATGAATATGTTTGTTTTTCATATTCATACTCTGTTATTGCTGATGGGATCTCTCTGGAAGCACATTGACATTTTAATTATAAAATACTCTTGGGATATCTGCATGTGAAAAAAGTCAATAGGACAAACTAGCATTATTAGTAATTAATGACTTTGTTATCTTTCTAATCAGTGAATAGTTGAAATCCAAGGGACGGTTCCTCCTCAGTCCCAGTTTCCTTTAATGGGAGTTAGGAAGGGCAGAGAGAAATATTGTCAAGTTGGAGGGAGAACAATAGTGCTTTATGGATACAGAACTCGAGCATCTAGGAAGGCTAGAGAGGCAACGGAAACCAGATACAGAAGTGGTTAATGTTTCCATAATGGGGATGACCTAGCATTTGCACACAATGATAAGCCAAATAAAGAATCAACCCTGCCTTATTAACCTAGCACTACTAAGAGAGTATTTATTCATGATTAAGGCATTATTCTGGCTTACAATTGCATGAACAAGAAAACTAGACTTGATTGTTTCCTCTAGGTTTAACCAAGTTAATAGAAAATTCACTTTCTCTTTTCCTAGTCTAGAACTGCTCAAAAATTCATTAGCTTGACGTAGCAGAACCTGTTTTGTTCATTCATGACTAGAAATATTTAGCCCCTAAAAACATCTGGTTTTGATCCCTACTTGGGGGGGGTGGGGGAGTAAGTAAAATAACAAGATAATTGTATAAATGCCAGAAAGAATACCACTCCTAGTGCAAAAGAGTTAGATGGCACCTTGAATCACATTTCAGCAATAGTTTGGATAATCTATAGGTTAAATGATAACATTGTTCCTGAACTGCAATGGAAATTTTACGCTTAACAATATTTGAGGAGATCCTACTGTACAATGACGAGGGGGTCAAACTGTTTTCCAAAACACCAAAAAGCAAGACAATGGATAGAAACTAACCAATCAGGGAAGCAACCTAGAACTAAGGAGAAATTTCCTAACAGTAAGAGCAATCAACCAATGGAACAACATGCATTCAGACATGGGTGCTACATCACTGGAGACTTTCAAAAAAAGACTGGACAATCATTTTTCCGAAATGATACAGGGTCTCCTGCTCGAGCAGAGGGTTGGATTAGAAGTCCTTCAAGGTCCCTTCCAACTCCATTATTCTATGTTGTCTGTTCACTTGCAAGTTACTTGCATTCAGACGATTAGGAGAGTGGAGAAAAGTCTTATTTTATGCTTTTATCCTATCTTTGATTGGGTCTGCAATTCTAAAATCACTTGGTCTAAACAAATGCCACGATTTTAGTTCCTGGTCAACTGGCATAGAATCGGGCCTTGCAACAGGCTTGGTTGTTTGGTTGATTTTCGTATAGCCCATCAGCATGATATTCAAATAGTAGATACATAAAAAAAATGGCTCAAAAGTATTGGAAAGATATACACAGGCAATTTTGGTATTTAATTAATTTAAATTTGAAATAAAACCACATTTTTTCCTACTAGGTATAATTCTAGAAAAAAATCAACAAGAAGAATCACATTTTAATGAAATAAACACCTACATCTGCTAGAATAAATTTTGCCCATTACTGGAAAAAATATAATTCTGACAATATCTGATTGGGAACTTAAATGTGGAGAATAAGCAGCAGTGGCAAAACCAACAGTATATATTCACAACAGAACCTTAACCAAATTTAAGCAAGAATTGTTCCCATACATAATAATATACATCATGTAGCATGGCAAATACAAACATTTACAGTTTGGCTTCTTTGGGGGACCAACCAAATGTTTTATAAAAGCTGTAAATTAGCAGAAGCACAAAAAAGGGGAAAATCAGAAACCAAATAATCCTTTTCTCTTTTTCCATTCTTCCCCTTCCCCCTTTTTATCTTTTTAAAAAACCTATTGGCATTTTAATTGTTGTCAAATTTGCTTTGTTTATCTTCATTATATTGGTATGCCACTTGGTTTAGATTTTAGTCCTGCTGACTGTTGAATTGATTTCAAGCAGTATAGCTCCTACATCACTTAGCATTCAGAGTAGACAAATTCATCTTCCTTTGTTCTTGAACCTTTCATCCCAAAAGAACAGATTGGGATTAAGTGTGCCAATTTAGCATCTGTACTTAATTGCAAGAGTTCCTAGAATTCAGATTTTTTCTTGTTTTATTTGAATCGTGGTATTATGGATCTTC